TATTGGCGTGGAGCGGACAGGTCGATTGCTCAGTGTTCCGCCCTGTGTACTGTTGTGTGTGCGGTCGGACCAAGATGTCTAGGTATCTAGGTCTGCGATTGGATCTCCGCACCCATTGTGGGGCGATGGATCTGTGAGTGGATCGCCGCGCCTGTGCGGGGCGATGGATCTGTGCGGAACTCTTGCCAGTCGACGGTGATACAGACCGAATCTGTGTCAAATTGCTGCTCGAAAGACAATAAACATAATGTCTCATAGTTCGATTATTTAGAATTGTTGGGTAGCATTTCGAGATTGTGGGGGTGGAGACGAACTGCTCCCGTTAACGGTAGGCAGGGTCTGGGAAAATCTTCACGCGGCGCGTGTTTAGTATGTTTTGCAGGAGATGAGCTGCCCAGTGCCCAGTGCAGTGGCGGGCATGGGCTGCCACTGAACTCTTAGTTCAGGGAAGGACGACCTCAGCCCACAGCCGGGACGACGTGGAACAAAGTCTCGGACAATTGTCCCGCCACTGCATGCAACAGCACGGACTGAGGAGTAGTCCTAGGCCCCGGGCCTTTTTCCTGTCGCCGTCTTCACGAGTCCGGCTCTGTGGTCGGTGGCGTACCTTCTGCCGCGGCACGGGGCCATTCACCGGAGCGGCACAGTGCACACCGATCGTTACTCTTGTGGTCCCCACTGAGGGGGCCGCGCCCGCGCGCCCGCGGGTCACACGACGGCGTCATTACCCGGCGGCCAGAGTCAGTGTCGCCCGCCGGTGATGACAACAGTCCTCTGGCCTGTTGTGGGAGGGCCGACGGAGTCAATTTTACGTCTTTCAATCGTTATCGTTCCACGCATATAGGAAACCGTGGCGCATAGCGCCATAAAGTTTGACGTTGATATAAACATAAATTTGGCATCCCGTTGTTAAATTTTGATCCCGAGATCCGGGTCATTTGTAGGCATCTGATTCCGAGTGCGATTCCACAGCCTTGTCTGGAGATGAAGGTGTCTAAAAATGTATTTTTTTTCTTTTAACGCTAAAGGTAAAATGTTGGATGTTCTACTTTAATCAATGATTTTCGAAATAAGAGCTTAGAATAGTGCTATTTACTGCTGCAAAGCTGTGTCTTTATTTGTTTGGAAAGGTGATTACAACCGTCCCCAATAGTGTTCTGTGTATGTGTTACAGGCAAAGTGAAAACTCGGGCATTTTGCAAAATGCCTAGGCAATTTGCAAAATGCCTGACCGGCCAGGCATTTTGCAAAATGCCCAGGCAGTTTGCAAACTGCCTGACCCACCAGGCATTTTGCAAACTGCCTGAAATATTTTCCCAGGCATTTTGCAAAATGCCTGGCATCAAACTCGCACTAGCGACGATGTATAGGTAAGCATCATTTGTAACTGCCGCTTACAAAAGTTCATTGCTGTCAATGCGCACCAAGCGAGGGGAGTGGGGACACTGCGTTCTCCGGGTAGCGCAGCCGAGTTCAGGTCACTGAGCCCCAGCGGCCGTCGGGTGCCGAGCACCGGGCGTGGTTTCGTGGGTAAACACGCGCTCGGTACAATGATTGTACTGTTTCTAAGAGCTCTTGGTGGCTTTTTGAAAATACTATGGTTGGATATTGATCAACTCTTCCAATTTGCGAAAATTTGATTGTTACACGTTTGCGTACATTATCAATCGTCTCTGCCGGAACAGTTGCCCACGAGGGCAGAATACTGGACATCGCAGCATTTATACACACGGCTACAACTCCGTATACCTATACGAAAGGTACGGAGACGGTGGCTCATGTCCATTCAGCGTTGGCTCCATCTCGACACGTAGGTATTCAGAGTGTCACGAATTTGATACGCGGTTGACGCGGTCTTGTCCCTCCATGCCCCTCCTGAGTGCTGAATGGATGTAATTTGAACGGGTCCGGCACCAGGGCATCTAAATCGGCCATCCCCCGGTATCTGAAGATTTTACCATGAAGCTGAAGCCGCTCAACATCAGGCTGCAACCCTGACTTATCGTCATCCATTAGTGGTGCAGCTGGATTTCGACAAAACCCACCAAATCTGGACCACTCAAGACTAGAGATTCAGACTTTTTAATGATGAGGCCGTGAGGCGATATTAGCCGTTTTCACGACGGCCATCTGGTAGGGGAGAGTGGGGCAAAGCGGCCACCCGGGGCAAAGCGGCCACCCATCGTTTTAGCCCTTCATAGCTGGCGTCAGTTCCAATTTATGGTTTCCAATTATACTTCTCTTCACGGTCGTTCGAATGAGCCAGACCGGGGTTTCAGGCCCATCGGCCATCACCATTGTTCTGTGAAACACGGAAAAGCCTTTCTTGCCAGGTTACCAACTATGTTTACAATTTTTAAATGTTATGTTATTCCATAACCGTTTTGGAATTTTTATAAGCGTTCTTGTCCATGCATTGCATGGTTATCGTACATGTATTCTACCTATTCTAATGTTTTTTACCCCACTAATAGCTAAGCTGGAATATTTTTGTCTCGGACGGTATGCGCGGGGCAAAGTGGCCGGGGCAAAGTGGCCACCCCCCAATTGGCCATAAGTTGCTTCCATCTGGATAAAAAACATTATTTATATTGAAATGTGTCGTCATGCATTCATCTTGGCCACTTTTCAGCTGCATGAGTTACCAAATAATGCAATTAAATGTTTATTTTCATGAAAATCCTTTCTTTGTTTACCTACAGGTGGAAGATGATAAAGTAAACATCCATCCTCGATTAACCTTGTCACCATCAAATACAATAGTCGTACACGAGGCAACTATTTTGTTTCTCATATCGGGACTTGAGAAGACGCCGGTGGCCGCTTTGCCCCAGGGTATGGGGCAAAGTGGCCAATATGCATAGGTTTAAAGTTTTGTCAATATCTTTCATATGTGAACGCCTTTGGAAATAAAACGCAGTTGAAATAAAAGGCAACTTACTAGGGATCACATTGGTATAGAAATAATCTTTCCAAGTTTAAAAATCAAGCGTTGGCATCGTGAGAAACGTTAGGGTGGCCGCTTTGCCCCACTCTCCCCTACACATTTAGTTAACATCTGGTGCAGATTAAGTGCATATTTGGTCAAATGAGGTTCAGACTTCAGTGTCTCTTAGTAGCTATCAGCTAGGGTTGTAGGCCTACTAATTGCTTATATGCCTCCTTTGTCATACTATTAGAGAGCATCATCGGTTAAAACACGGAAATAAATTCATAAAATAAATATATTTGCTGTAAAAGAGATTAGGTGCAGATTTGGTCAAATTAGGTGCACTCACCGGATAGCCCGTCGTGAAAACGGCTATTAGAGCTCTTCTTAGTCACTAACCGTCCCGACAAGCAGTTCTGGGCCAACAGCAGCTCAGAGGCGCCGCGCTGCACCGTCGAGACGGTGAAGCACTCACTGGGCACTGGTGACTGGGGATTCTCGTTTGGGGCATGATGGGCTACAGAGGCCTATTTGAGCTTCACCAGGTGCCGCGGGGACAGACCATGTGGCCGCTGATAACTTGTCAGCGAGGTGCTGGAGAACACTAACGCAACTACGATGCAATACATTTCGGGACACAAGCACAACATCTCGCAACAATTTCGTGACACCCTGTATTCGTGACCGTGGAATGTGTCACATGTGCCCACAACACATGTGAAATGTGTTGTGGGGTCAGTCACAGTGGAACGTTTATGATCAACGCCTGTAGTCAACAAAAACGGTGGAATATATGAAAACCCACTCCCAGGCATTTTGCAAAATGCCTGGCGGGTCAGGCATTTTGTAAAATGCCTAGGCAGTTTGCAAAATGTCTGGTGGGTCAGGCAGTTTGCAAACTGCCTGGGCATTTTGCAAAATGCCTGGCGGGTCAGGCATTTTGCAAATTGCCTAGGCATTTTGCAAAATGCCCGAGTTTTCACTTTGCCTGTAACATATGTATAAAATGTCCGATTTCGTACGTCCGGGCGTGTTCAGTGCGCACTATATTACAATGCATGCGTGTTATACCCAAGCACCCTGGTACTCCACCGGCGGCTGCCGGCGGCTCGTTAGCGGCGGTTGTGACGCGCCTGGTCGATCAGCGGCGCTGCCGTGCACGGGCGCCGTCTTTGTGTGCCGCCGCAGCGCCGTGTGTACCGCGTGGGTTCCTCCCTCCCCCCCTCCCGCCCGCCAGTTCCAGGAAGGCCGACCTCCAAATGGCAGCGCCGGTGCCGGCACGGTGTAACTGTGTCTCGGGTTTTCATAAAGGTCAACTGAGGTCAGGTCGGTCACGTGACCTCGCCATGATAAGTCAATGGGTAAAAATGGAAGCCGTTATTTTGGCGTCAGACATGATCCAAGGCTCATCCCATGTCAAACACATGGAATGGAGTGGTGATTTCATACACTCCTGGAAAGGTCCGCTGCTTAATTTTTGTATTGCTGACCTTGTAAGACATATTTATAACCTCACGGTCATAGGGGTTTTTCGTCAATAACTCCCGAGCAAACTGGGAGTTATTGACGGGGAAGCCACGGATTGACTCAGAAACATCTGCCGAATCGAATGATACGCAATGTTACTTCATTCGATCATACTTCGCAACCTGAGTGGCTTTGACCTGACTTTGACCCAATGTCAACACCATTGGTAATTTACCTCACCTAACAAACAACAGTGGGAATGTAGGTATGTTGTATAGCCTTCGACGTGCAGTATACCATGACAACCGCACGATGGCATGGCATGTCAAAATTGCATATCCGGGATCATTTCTGGCGACGTTAACTTGTCATTGTGAGCTAACCTTAGGTGACCTGTGGCTAAATTCTCACACACGATGCAATTATTACGTAGTATAAACCATACCAAATCTTGAGGCACTGCGCGCAGTGATTTTCATTATACGCTCAATAAACTGGGAGTGCGGCCAAAAACTCCTATCCCACCAGGGTTAAGGTTAGACACACACACACGCACACACAAATTCCGTAGCGATATCTCTGGTCATGTAATAAAGATATAAAATGCAAGCAACAACAAATAGGAATATATTTAGATATTGAAGAGCACTTAACATCACAGTTTTGTGTTCACTACACGTTTGCTCCCATGCAGAATGCAGAGCTGATACTGCACTGGGACTAGATATTAGGTATTCAGTATGCATTACTTAGGTATAGACGCACTTTACATCAACATCCCTATAAACAATGAAGCTAGTTGTATCATCCATTGTCGTTAAGAGCTGGTAATTCTAGGACAGGTGTCTGAATGGGTGACAGAATCGTCGGATATATTAATTGACATAGCATGACATAGTCATAATTGCCACCTCAGTCTGAAAATGCATAGTGGCGCTAACGAATGGTTTGTACACACCTGTATGTCGGACGGTGTGTCCGGGATGGTAAAGGTATGGCGGACACATTGTTCTTGCATTGTTCTGCCACGTTGTTCTGCTGCACGGTCTGCTATCATGTAGCAATGACACGCATTGTAAGTGTCTGATATTCCCGCACTCACGAATATGCGATATTGATGTCCACAACAGAGGTTAGCAATAGGTACTGATCCATTATCTCACTTGATGCCTACTGGCTACGACTATGAGCCTTGCGTTTTATTTACTTACAGATGTCTTCGCTATTTCAAACTTAAACTACCACGGCGCTTTGGCAGTTCCTGTGAAAATGTGACCTGTATATAGGTATGTCTGCAACAACGACCCTAACATGGGGTAATATCACGCGACGTGCAAGCACAGCGCTCCGCTGGTCAGCCTCAGCCTGGTGGCTGATCTCGACAGCCATGCAGCTTTGTAGCAACTTCTGATGGCCGATGTCAGCTAGGCAGGCCGCGAACAGGGGGCATTGGGCCACCAGTGGGGCCGGCTGCCGCCCAAAGCTGTCCAACAGTCTCAAACAGTGTCCAAAAATCGTTCAGCTGCCGCCCAAAGCTACCTTTAGCCTGCTGACGCCGACCATCAGCCGTATAACGCTGACCTTCAGCTGTATAATGCCGTCCGTCAGCCGTACATAACACCGCCCATCAGCCGTATAACGCTGACCTTCAGCTGTATAACGCCGTTCGTCAGCCGTACATCGTATAACGCCTCCCATCAGTCGTATAACGCCGTCCGTCAGCTATATAACGCTGACCTTCAGCTGTATAACGCCGTCTGTCAGCCGTATAACGCTGACCTTGAGCCGTATAACGCTGACCTTCAGCCGTATAACGGCGTCCGTCAGCTGTTTAACACCGTCCATCAGCCGTCCATCAGCCGTGCAGCAGCAATCCAACAGCCGTGCAGTAGCCGTCCAGCAGCAATCCAACAGCCGTGCAGCAGCCGTCGAGCAGCAATCCAACAGCTGAAGGTACCGCGTTGTCTAGCTCCCACGCCAGCGCGATAAGGCACTCAAAGGCAGCCAGTTCCGGCGACGTGGCCCGCGCGCCGCCACCGCCGCCGGTCACGTGATCGGTGACCGCGCGCCGGCGGCTGAGTCACGTGATCACCTGACCTCTGTGACGCCCGGCAGGGGGCGTCCCGGATAGGCCGGCTGCAGCGGCCCGTACTCGCGCAGGGGACACTGCGAGCCGCCGATGTATTGCACCGGATGGTTACTGGCAGGCAGTGTGTACACACCTGAAACGGCGCCGAGAACAGGTCACAGAGATAACCAGGGTAGCACAGGTCACCAGAGGCCACCAAGGGCCAAGGCCCTGTTTCACGGCACGACGCTACAGCGCGCTACGCGCATCGGTGTATTAGGTTTCTATGAAAACATCAACAAACTCGGACGCTCGCAATGCTGAAGCGTCGAGGCGAATTCGTCTCAAACGCCGCACCATTACTATAGCGCATCGTAGCGGCGTGCCGTGAAACAAGGCCCCTGATGGGTTCAGGTCACCAGAGGTCACCAGACGAAACACAGATCTAAAAAGGTCGCCAGAGGGAGCACAAGTTATCCAGCTGTCACCAGGATCATAACTTATCCAGATGTAAGTAGGGGTCACCGGGTGGGGCACAGGTCAGCGGAGGTCAGCATGTAAAGAACAGTTCACCAGAGGTCACCAGACTGAACATATCTCGGTAGAGGTCTCGTGACTGCATAAATGAACACAGGCTGACAGAGATATAACCAGGTAATCCAAAAGTGAAGTTATTTTATGTGATTGTTGTGGTGACATAAAGCTCAGAGAAGGTCAAATACGAGCCCAGATCGCCGCAGGCTGCCATACATCCGACGACCACCGGAAAGCTGATGACATCGTCGACCGAGGTCATAACAGGTCACTATCGAGGGTGCACTGTTGAACGGCATGCCTTGGGTAGCAAAGCCGTGCTCATGCACATGCAGAGCATGGTTGGCTACGTTGGGCCTGTGAGAGGTCGTTGGCTGTCAGCCGCCAGTGCGTTGACCTGCCAGCGTATATTCCGACACTGCTCAGTGCCCATGCCCGCATCCACTGCACTGGCGAGCTGTGCCAGTGGGAGCATATGTCAATATTGCTACTCATTCATACATACCTACCTCCCTGTGATAGGTAAAACAAAACTCTTAACTCGATTATTTGTATTGTTAATGATCTTAAAGTTCACTAATGCTTGCATGCAATTCCCTAGCTCGTTCACTGATGCATTTGCCACTGCTCGTCATAAGGTAGATATGCCACCATGCTTGGGTCATCCCACTGGGTGGGGCGATAGTTGAGTTGACTGCTCCACGCCAATAATGTGTGTCAATCAAGGATTTTTCATTCTTCACATTTCAGACTGCTGTATGTAGTTAGTGTGTGTCAATCAAGGATTTTCCATTCCTCACATTTCAGACTGTTGTATGTAGTTAGTATGTACACATGTGCCATGTGGATCGTGTAATGTATACATTTCACGATCCACATGTATTTCTATAGAAATAGATCGGCACCTTATTAACTAAGTTGTAACTAACCGGCGACTTGCTAGGGGTGGTTGCTAGAGACCCACATTCTTCGTCGCGCTAGTATATGTAGTTGGAAAACGGTGGGCCGCACGCGCACAATTAAAGGTTCCTGTTGCGAAATGATTGAACATATATCATTATTCACGAGAGGCATGATTATCTAACTTAATGGTGACCAGACCTTAGGTGACCTGGGGTCGAAGATTCTACACACGATTCAAACTGAATGTCTGCAAGCTATGCCAAGTTAGCCAAACTATGCCTTTCATCCTGCCGAACAGTGTGTTGTGGCGTGGCTTTCATCAGTTACCTACAGGTGTCTGCCTGCCTCCTTCCTGTGTGCGGCGGAGCTCGATGAAATAGTGCAGTTACCTATCTGGTAGGTATAGATGATGCAGTGCTGCGCAGCATGCATTTAGAGATTTAGACACGACGGCCATCTACCGATTTATATGGGCAAGCAAGTGCTTGCAAAATGTTTTAGTTATAATCTTGCATGTCTTGTTTTATCGCACATCATTGATAATTGATTATACAGCTTACAAACGATTAGCATTGAGCAGTGGATAGTTGGACGCCAGCCTCCGGCGCCGTGTGCGTGTGTCTGCTGTCGGGAGGGGGGGGGGGGGTCGGCTGGCTGTGATGTCGGCGGGGGGGGGGGGTCGGGTAGCCGGGCGGACGGCGAGCGCCGTCGCCGGTCGACAGTCGTACCGATGGTGCCGGGACCGGCGGGGCCGACCACCTCCAGCGGCGGGTAGCTGGCCGACCCGGGCCCGAGCGGCGCGCCGTACTGACCTCCCTGCGGAACTGCGGCACACGCACACACTAAACCCGCGAGCTAACGACAGTGGACCCGCCATGCCAATCAGGTGCAGAAAACACACAATTAACCGGAGCCAAATCATCAAGTGCAAAATAAACACGCATAACCATTAACCCTGTTTGAAAGGAAATAAAACTAACAGTCACAAAAAAAATATTTTCATCAGAGGTAGATGAACAATTTGATTTTGGATGGTAACGCTAATAGAATCATGAACATTTTACTTTGCAGCCGAGATGAAATCACGCTAATGCACACTAAGTAGCAAACATGTAGGTACAAAAAATTAACCCGCGCCCCGTTGAGGTCTGGCAGGTTCCACGTCCTGTTGGGGGGAGGGGAGGGGGGTAGCTAAGAGCTTCATATCTCCGGATCCAATAGCCGGATCGGAAAAACTCAAACGGAATTCGATAGAGCTCATCGAGATGCATATTGCATAAGAAAGGATAGCAATGATCTTGATATTTGACCTGTGACGTCACAGGGAGGTCAAACAAGGTCATGTCAGTCCAATTTACAATGAGGAGAAGTCGGTCATAAAAAAGAAATCTAGGTTTCCAACATGAGTCTGGATATGATGCACATGATAGATCTGGCATGTGGATAGTCACCTGAATGGATGATGACCTGCGACGTCACAACAAGGGAATCGAGGAATCAGAAATCACGTGAATCGCAAGGAAAGGCATTAACCCTATTCCTGGCGGGCTCCGCCGGGACAAGAAACTGGCGGGGGGGGGCCGATTCGGCCCCCCTTCAGATCTCAAAAACTACACATCGCAGCGACAAACGGCGAACGGCGTTTGATAGGTCGTTTAAAGATCTACAACTTTTACATAAAACATTTTCAGGTCAGGTCAATATTGAGGTCACCAGAGGTCATCAACGATAAAATGTTTTGGAATTAGTTACCTATATAACTTTTAAACTAAGAAACATAGAGACATAAAACCGAGGGGATGCGAAATAAGTATGTCAATTTAAAATTTGACCTGAGGTCAAGGTCAGGTCATTCATCAATGAGGTTGTGGGGTATATGGTCATGCTGCATACCAAACGACGCGCCTTGATCAGGCGAGCAGTTTGGTACCACTTTACAAGTCTTTAGCACCATCTTGTCGTGATTTATTGACAGAAAAACGATTTATGACGTCACATGACCTCAGATGACCTTTGCCGGTGCCCCTGTCAATTAGCGGCACCAGGATCATCACCGATGAGATAATCTTCCATAATACTGAAAGAACTGGGTGGTTTTGACTCGTTTACACGAAGCAGGAGGCGTTTCAATATTTCCCCATAGGCTTGCAATGTAAAGGTCACGAGTCTGGCCTGACCTCAGGTCACAGATATGAAAATTCTGAGATATACAAATTGCACATACTGGTACCCTAACTAAAGCCTGAAGAGAAGAAATTGAATGGTCAAAAACTCTAGCTCTGGCGTGATTGCAAACTTTTCTGAGGTAGGGTCACCAAACCGCCTCTGGTGACCTGACCTGAGGTCAGATCAACTCAAAATTTTCAGAAATGTTGCGTAAAAGCCTTTTAGAAAAAGTCAGAAAATTTGAGCTTCCTAGCTCAAAGCGTTTGGGAGATATAACCAAAAAACCTCAGGGGCCCCCCCCCCCCGCCAGGAATAGGGTTAAATTGTAAATATTAGAGTCTTTGTGAAGACATGTCGTAGGTATGTATGCAGCCACAGAAACATCCTGGACCATATTTCTTGGACCTATGACGTCACAGGAATGTCAAAAAGGTCAAAATATACCGATTTTCAACGAAAAATAATTGTTTACTTACGTAAAAGTGACTTTAATCACGTATAAAAGATCATATTCAGTTAGGAAGAGGTTAACCCTCGCCCGCACATGCCATTTTCCCATCCTAGAACGCACATGGGGGGGGGGTGGTTGCCACCCCCCCCGCGCCATTTTGTTCCTGTTGGAGATAGAGCTTAGCAGTAAAGACCAAAAAGATTCTTTGGGAAGAGACGAATCCAATGATACCCAGTTTTACCTTCTCAGGTCAGTCATTGACCTTCCAGGTCAGGTCAAACTAAAAAATGTTGCTGTTTTGGGTCACCGTTGGATATCAAGTGTGCTGCTTATCAAATACCGATGACGATGCTGTTTTCTGGTGCCAAGCCAGCTAGAACCTCTTTGTCACACTACCCGACCAGAATTTTGCTGCTGAGGTCATTTCAGGTCAAGTTAGTCAAGGTCAATTATATGTGTTTGTATGTCTGTGTGTGTCTGTGTGTAATACTGATGTGTGTTCCGATTGTTTTTGGGTCCATATTACATGAAATCATGATCTGAGAAGCTTTTACCAAAAATGCAGTCAAAAAACTTCAAAAAAAGTAAATTCAGCTTGCCTAAAACGCAATTATCTTAGGTGACCTAGGTTGACCTTGACCCTGACCTTGACCCCTGTACATCGTCGAACAACATGTTCCATGATAGGTAGGAGGTAAGACTGGCAAAAAAGGCCGAAATCAGGCTGTCAAAAGCTCATAAGGCCCATGGCAAACGCAAGATGTTGAGAATTGGCCATTTGGGTCATGACATGACCTGAAAAACAAGGTCATATCTCCGAAACCAAAAATCACGGAAACTTGAAATTTTCAGTGGACATCAAGAAAGGATAGAGGAGCAACTATACGAAAAATCAGCCTTCTAGCTCAAAAAATGTTGAGTGCAGAGCAGAAAGACTACCTGGGGGGGGTGGCAACCACCCCCCCCCCCCCATGTGCGGGCGAGGGTTAATAGGTACCTATAACAAATATTATTTCTGGCTGATTTCAAGCCAAATACTGAAAGTATTGTGACGTCATGAGAACAATCGCTACTTTTTCAGTCATTCAAATGGCTATATCTTTCGCAGTTTTAGAGATATTAGTTAATTTTTGGCATGTAGTACCTAAGGTGCATGTAGTGCCAAGGAGCAGGTAGGAGCGTCAGAAGTGGTGGCAACCAAACTGGAGACTAGGTATGACTCTTATGAATCCTATCGTCTCGATGTGACCGATCCGTCAGTGGATGACGTCCTGGAGCCAGAGATATGGGCACAGGGCCTTCTCGTGCGCCGTTATTTCGTGAAAAGATCTGATCCCGATTCATCGGAGCCCCGTAGACCTGTATCTTCTCGATGACTTGTTATTCTGGCGTCCTCTCCATCTGTCTGGTTCATGCTGTACTGTCCCACATATTTTACAATCAGATGCGGATAAGTTCATATAACTGCCAGTCTTCTAAACGTAACATTGGAGGAATCAAATTGCTTTGCGATGTTTCAGATATAGTTTTGCTGCAGGAGCACTGGCTCTATCCTTTTGATCTTCCCAGCCTTAATACCTTGCACAAAGATTTCATGACATTTGGAACTTCATCCATTGATGTATCCGATGGTATTGTGCTAGGACGCCCGTACGGTGGTGTAGCAGTTATGTGGAGAAAGGACTTAACATCTCAGGTGAAACCCATCAGTTTTGATGATCGGAGAATAATTGGACTGGAATGTTGTTTTAATGGTATCAAAATGCTGTTATTGGGAGTGTATTTGCCTCATAACGCAACTCATAATTTTGATGAGTTTGTATTTTCTCTCGGTAAAATTAGGTCAATTATTGATGAGTTTGATTCGCCCTACGTTTTCGTCTTCGGTGACTTCAATGCTGATATAGAGAGGCAGACCTCTTTTGGTAAAGAACTAGATTCATTTTGCCAGGAGTCTGACCTTATTGTTGCTGATCCAGTGTTCCTGGGAAGGGGATCTGTGACTCATGTAAATGACGCTCATGGTACAGAGTCTTGGTTGGATCATATTGTGTGCACGAAAGGTGCGTATGGGCTAATTCAGGCAATCGATATTCGCTACTCTATTTCTAGCTCTGACCATTTCCCTATGACTGCTGAGCTCAGGATCCCCAGTGGGGTTTCAGTATCGCCAGATGCCCTAGACAGAGAGGATTTCAAATGGGTGGTTGACTGGTCAACGGTCGATCGTGCACGCCTTGAACTGTACACTGCGGGTGTGAATGAAAGGCTAAACGAGATAAATGCTCCTCTTAATGTTCTAAATTGTAACGATACGCACTGTGTTGATCACTGTTCAGATATTGATAGATATTATAGTGAAATAATATCTTGCTTGCATGAATCATCTCGCCACAGTATAGCTAGAGAGGTGCGCGGCGGACATAAGCCGGTGCCGGGCTGGAGTGAGTTTGTACAGAAGGCTCACTCGACGCTTGGTGACATATATTGTCTGTGGGCTATTGTCGGAAAGCCCAAGACCGGCTACATCTATGATCAGCTGCGTTTAGCAAAGGCTCGTTTCAAATACTCCCTGCGATGGTGCATTCGCAATGATAAGGATCTTCGGGCTAGGAACTTAGCTGATAAGCTCGCAAGGTACCCACGTGATCCCGCTTCCTTTTGGAAGGAGGTCAGAAATCTGAATAGCTCCCCTCCTCTTGCTACAACAGTGAATGCTGTGAGCGGGACGAAAGACATTGCACACATGTGGAAAGACCATTTTTCTGGTATACTGAATTCAGTTTGTGATGATACGTTAAAGGAATCTGTACTTCATCGAGTGAGAGAGAACATGGGTGTTGTGCATAACATTTCTGTGCAGGAAGTGTCTAACTCTTTGCGAGACCTGGCGTCAGGACGGAGCAGTGGTCATGATGGCTTAAGTGCAGAGCACTTTAAGCATGCTGGTCATATGTGTCTCACCCACTTGTCCTTGTGTTTCACCATGATGTTAAAACATGGCTACCTGCCCAAAAGTTTGACCAAAGTTGTGATTGTTCCCATAGTGAAGGACAAAACTGGGAATATTTCTGATAAGGATAATTACCGGCCGATTGCCTTAGCGAGTGTCAGCTCCAAAGTGCTGGAGTCAATCGTTTTAAATCGTAGCCGTGACGTCTTTTGTACCAGTGACCATCAGTTTGGTTTTAAGCCGTCACACTCTACTAACATGGCCATATATGCTGTAAAGGAATTATCTGAGTACTACTTGCGAAACAATAGCCCAGTGTTCTTGTGCTTCCTTGATGCTAAAAAGGCGTTTGATCGAGTTAATCATTGGAAATTGTTTGACAAGCTTTTGCGTAGGGGAATGGATGCTCACCTTGTAAATCTTCTCGTGGAATGGTATGGTACACAATCATTTCATACGCAATGGGGACAGTACGTTACAAGTGGCTTCACTGTTTGCAATGGGGTCAGACAGGGGGGCATTCTTTCACCATTTTTGTTTAATCTGTATGTTGATTCTTTGTCTGTGAGCCTTGATAACACTGGTGTTGGCTGTCGCTACCTAGGTAGTATGAACCACATAGCATATGCTGATGATATGATTCTTTTGTCACCCACGCCGTTTGGCCTTCAGGTCCTACTAAACACATGTGAAAAATATGCGAATGAACATGACATTGTTTATAATACGAAAAAGACTGTGTGTATGTGCTTGCGCCCAAAAATGTTCAAGAATATGTGTTTGCCACAGCTTACTCTTTGCGGTGAAACTCTGAAATATGTGAATAGCTATAAATATTTAGGTTTTAATATTTCTGAAGACTCAACTGACAATTTGGAAATCCAGCAGCAATATCGTTTACTGTGCTGTCGAACGAACTCGCTGATTCGGAAATTCTCGATGTGCTCGTATCAGGTAAAGAAGTTTCTGTATATGTCCTATTGTGCCACTGTATATTGCCTTCACCTTTGGCACGTGTTCAATGTGTCTGTTATCAACAAGTTTAAGGTTTGCCTGAATAATGCTGCTCGAATGTTTTTTGGCTACGAGAGATTCTGTAGTGCTTCTGCAATGCATGTTCGCGAAGGCATTGATAGCTTTGATGTTATGTTCAGAAAGTCATCATGGATATTTCTCCGAAGGCTCGGTTTGACCAAAAACACTGTTTTGAGCGCTCTTGTGAACAGTGATGTGAGCATACGCTCTAGATATAGGGCTGTGTGGAATCGGGCACTGTTGGCAGTGTAAAGTGGTTCTGTCTCATTTACAATTGGACCATGAGTCCGTAAATACAGTTCTCTCTCTCTCTCTCTCTCTCTCTCTCTCTCTCTCTCTCTCTCTCTCTCTCTCTCTCTCTCTCTCTCTCTCTCTCTCTCTCTCTCTCTCTCTCTCTCTCTCTCTCTCTCTAAGGGGTTCTCTGACATGACGTTTCGATATTTTCGAAAATTTCCCCAAATTTTAAAATCATTTCAAGAAATCTAAATTATTATCTAAAAATCCCTAGATCTTGATATTTTTGTATTTGGAAAATTTCGAGACAGCCATGTTGTTTACCATGCTTTGCTTTTTATACCTACAGTCCGATTTTTAAGTCTCTGAAGCTCTGATTTTCTGCGATTTTTCTTCGTGAATGACTTTTTGACGAAAAATGAACATGACCTCAGTTTTACCTCTATAGCTCGTGACCTTAGATGACCTTGGACCTTATTTTTTCAGGAGTGGTGTAGAATTGATGCCCGGAGAGGCACTGACAGTTTTAAGTCGAAATTGGCGGCCGTTTGTGAGTTATCTGCGAAAAACCACGGCGGGGGCTTTTGCCCCCATCCCCCCCCCCCAACGGGTCACGGGTTAATGGTCAAGGCACTCATAGACAACAAAAACCATTGGTTGCCTTACAGCTATATTTGGAATCAATGAATCACCATTTTGGGAACGTCCCATGGAACAAGTACACCCAGACCAATTGCACGCGCATTTCTACATAAGCAGCAGATGCAGGGGTTACCACCGGGCGCGGTGCTGAGTGTCGTGTAGTCGTCTCACCTGTGGCCTGCTGGTACGGTGTGATCAGGTCACCTTGGGCGCCGGGCACGCCCACCACCATGGCCGAATCCTGCCGGGACATTCCTGTAGACAGAGACAGACGCACAGCATCACTGCCGAGTGCCGAGACATTCCTGCAGACAGAGATAGAGATAGACAGAGATAGCCGAATCCTGCCGGGACATTCCTGTAGACAGAGATAGACGCACAGCATCACTGCCGGGACATTCCTGTAGACAGAGATAGACGCACAGCATCACTGCACTGCCGGGACATTCCTGTAGACAGAGATAGACGCACAGCATCACTGCCGGGACATTCCTGTAGACAGAGATAGACGCACAGCATCACTGCACTGCCGGGACATTCCTGTAGACAGAGATAGACGCACAGCATCACTGCCGGGACATTCCTGTAGACAGAGATAGACGCACAGCATCACTGCCGGGACATTCCTGTAGACAGAGATAGACGCACATCATCACTGCCGAGACATTCCTGTAGACAGAGATAGACGCACAGCATCACTGCCGGGACATTCCTGTAGACAGAGATAGACGCACAGCATCACTGCCGAGACATTCCTGTAGACAGAGATAGAAGCACAGCATCACTGCACTGCCGGGACATTCCTGTAGACAGAGATAGACGCACAGCATCACTGCCGAGTGCCGGGACATTCCTGTAGACAGAGATAGACGCACATCATCACTGCCGAGACATTCCTGTAGACAGAGATAGACGCACAGCATCACTGCCGGGACATTCCTGTAGACAGAGATAGACGCACAGCATCACTGCACTGCCGGGACATTCCTGTAGACAGAGATAGACGCACAGCATCACTGCCGGGACATTCCTGTAGACAGAGATAGACGCACAGCATCACTGCACTGCCGGGACATTCCTGTAGACAGAGATAGACGCACAGCATCACTGCCGGGACATTCCTGTAGACAGAGATAGACGCACAGCATCACTGCACTGCCGGGACATTCCTGTAGACAGAGATAGACGCACAGCATCACTGCCGGGACATTCCTGTAGACAGAGATAGACGCACAGCATCACTGCCGGGACATTCCTGTAGACAGAGATAGACGCACATCATCACTGCCGGGACATTCCTGTAGACAGAGATAGACGCACATCATCACTGCCGAGACATTCCTGTAGACAGAGATAGACGCACATCATCACTGCCGGGACATTCCTGCAGACAGAGATAGACGCACAGCATCACTGCCGGGACATTCCTGTAGACAGAGATAGACGCACAGCATCACTGCCGAGACATTCCTGCAGACAGAGATAGACGCACATCATCACTGCCGGGACATTCCTGCAGACAGAGATAGACGCACAGCATCACTGCCGGGACATTCCTGTAGACAGAGATAGACGCACAGCATCACTGCCGGGACATTCCTGTAGACAGAGATAGACGCACATCATCACTGCCGAGACATTCCTGTAGACAGAGATAGACGCACAGCATCACTGCCGGGACATTCCTGTAGACAGAGATAGACGCACAGCATCACTGCCGAGACATTCCTGTAGACAGAGATAGAAGCACAGCATCACTGCACTGCCGGGACATTCCTGTAGACAGAGATAGACGCACAGCATCACTGCCGAGTGCCGGGACATTCCTGTAGACAGAGATAGACGCACATCATCACTGCCGAGACATTCCTGTAGACAGAGATAGACGCACAGCATCACTGCCGGGACATTCCTGTAGACAGAGATAGACGCACAGCATCACTGCACTGCCGGGACATTCCTGTAGACAGAGATAGACGCACAGCATCACTGCCGGGACATTCCTGTAGACAGAGATAGACGCACAGCATCACTGCACTGCCGGGACATTCCTGTAGACAGAGATAGACGCACAGCATCACTGCCGGGACATTCCTGTAGACAGAGATAGACGCACAGCATCACTGCACTGCCGGGACATTCCTGTAGACAGAGATAGACGCACAGCATCACTGCCGGGACATTCCTGTAGACAGAGATAGACGCACAGCATCACTGCCGGGACATTCCTGTAGACAGAGATAGACGCACATCATCACTGCCGGGACATTCCTGTAGACAGAGATAGACGCACATCATCACTGCCGAGACATTCCTGTAGACAGAGATAGACGCACATCATCACTGCCGGGACATTCCTGCAGACAGAGATAGACGCACAGCATCACTGCCGGGACATTCCTGTAGACAGAGATAGACGCACAGCATCACTGCCGAGACATTCCTGCAGACAGAGATAGACGCACATCATCACTGCCGGGACATTCCTGCAGACAGAGATAGACGCACAGCATCACTGCACTGCCGAGACAGTCTTGCAGACATAATAAACATTATTGCCGAGACAGTCCTGCACCGTGCACACAGAACCGACAGGCAACTTCACTGCCGGTACTTCCCTCTTTACAGAACAGACAGGCAGCTTTACTGCCGACATATTCCTGCAGACACGGCAGACACAGGCAGCATCATTGCCGATATATAACTGTACACAGAGCGGACATAGATAGCAGCAGTACCGATACATTATGTGCTGCAGACAGACATAGGCAGCACCACTATCGATACATTCATTGAGGAGACATTCATACCTTCATAGTTCATACATTCGTGCATACATATATTCGTGGAGCAGACATAGACAGCATCACTGCCGAGACATTCCTGTGGACAGGACAAATATGTATAGACAGCGTCACCGCCGAGTAATGCTCCCGGTCAGTGGGATGTGACCTGCCCGTATATTGGTAGCGGTTCGCCTAAATGTGGCATGGTGTACAGCCCTCAGCAGACTGCGTGGTAGGTATCTTTTTTTCGACAAAACCGATAATAACTAAAAGGCTGTTATTATTCGGTCGGAACTCACCGCAAATAGAAGCGCCATGCTCCACCCCTTCGATTGGGTCTATCACTAAACAAAGTAGGTATACCGATAGGCGTTATCACAAGTGTATTCGCGGCCATTGGGGCGACGTAAGAAAAGAAGAAACCAACTGGCCCCAAGAACTTTAAATTATCAGTTAGCATGCACCTTTTCCTTGATGTGTAGAGAATTTACCATTATTTGTTACAGAAAATTGCATTTAAAATCTTCCATTTATGCTTTTTTCATCGTTTGCACAATATGTTCTTTTACTAAGCTAGAAACACTAATTAGAAATAGTTCCCGCATCATCAAGAACAATAGGGAAGGCTTGAAGTGAATAAAATAATTTAAACGGTTTTGTAATCTATGTGAGGGCACTACTAAAATTGCCTGTAAAAATATTGAAGGCAAAAGTTCAACTTTTTCACAAGACGGATGTCTATAAACCTATTTAACTTGTGACAACTCAGCCGGTATTTCGTCGCCTACAGCCCAGCTTTCCCTAGTGACCGATAGAGGCGCTGCTATCGATGTCCGCCCGTGCCGCCTAACGCGCCTTGTGTGGCAACAAAAGGCAAAAGTTTGTTTTGGGGGCAAATATAAAATTTTGGGTTTTGCTGCCAAACTGGATGGAAAATGAATACGATGATAATACCAATCTAAGGTGCGGAGTCTCGCGCGTCTTACTCTTACGATTTCCGAGTGACCGATTGCAGAGTATTCGCGCTATTCTCGGTTTTGTCGAAAAAAGAATACCTACCACGAAGTTTGCAAAGGGTTGTACATAGTTTCCAGTTCCAAGGATAATTTTTATTTTGTGCATGCATAAATGATAATTTACAAAAGCGTTATTCAAGTAATGCTTCATATGGCCTGAAATTTATTATTTTCAAAATGCTGATGAGTGATGACTTCAGAACGAAAAATAATACACGTCAACTGGCACTGTGGCCACTTGGAATCAAAGGCTGTCGTGTTCGTGCGGTCTATCGCCCTCCGCCGTTAGGTATCTGCACGTCTAACGTCCATAGAACTAACGTTTTAAGATCGAGCGGATGTGTAAGTGAAGAACGCCGCAAGCACTCACCGTTGGGCACGATCCAGCCGTGTATGCGGTTCTCGCGCTTTTTGGCCAGGAGGCGCTTCTTGAAGCAGAAGTAGATGAAGATGGCGATGATGAGCAGCACGAGGATGGAGCCGACCGTCAGCGCCACGCGGGGCCTGTTGAACGCGCGCCGTATATGCTTGTTCAGTATTTATCTATTTAGAAGTACAACAGAAGCATCCCCACATCATGCACATTTCACATTGCGCATACGTTTTGGCTTTTTAGTAGTTGAAGTCGTGATGAATATGACACAAATATATAGGTAGGTATGTACAGCCCTCTGCAAACTGCGTGGTAGGTATTCTTTCTTCGACAAAACCGAGAATAACGCGGATACTATGCTATCGGTCGCCCGGAAATCATAGCAGCAAGATGCGCGAGACTCCGCACCTTAGATTGGCATTACCATCGCATTCATTTCCATCCAGTTTGGCAACAAAACCCAAAAGTTAATACTTGCCCCAAAACAAATTTTTGCATTTTGTTGCCACACAGGGCATATACTTTGTTTCGTGATGTACCCAATCGAAGGAGTAGAGCATGGCGCCTCTGTTTTCAGTGAGTTCCGACCGACTGACAACATAGTCTTTGAGTTATTACTGGTTTTGTCGAAAAAAGAATACCTACCACGCAGTCTGCTGAGGACTGTACATACATGTTGCCGTTAGCCAAGGCTGTCCGGAGCAAGAGCGCATCGACCTCAGAGAAAAAGCCAAACATAGGCAGTAGGCACTCAGCTGCATGTCCTCATGACAATGAGACGAAATCTTACTCAGATTAGCTAACAGCTCACTCGTTTCGTTTTCGGTTGACTAAGGCATACATAGAGACCTCATATTATTATGAGCGAGCACTATCTCGATCCGTTATTTACCTCGTTATAGAAATATGAATATAAAAAATCCTTAAACATGTACCGCTTAGAACATTTCTTTCTTAATACGAGGATATAATATGCAACCCGTTCCTATAACATTATGGAAAGAGACGTCAATCCTTCACGCTTGAGTATAGTGGGAGGGCTTAAATCTCCAGTTCATATTTACTTTTTTGTGAAAAACCGCGGCGCTGGCGTCCCAAAACTAGGCATTGTAGCTTATAGCACACGGCTGTTGCGTCACGTGTTGAATTTCAACTCAAGGTCTTTTAACCCTCGCCCGCACATGGGGGGGGGGGTGCCACCCCCCAGGTAGTCTTTCTGCTCTGCACTCAACATTTCTAGAGCTAGAAGGCTGATTTTTCGTATAGCTGCTCCTCTATCCTTTCTTGATGTTCACTGAAAATTTCAAGTTTCTGTGGTTTTTGGTTTCGGAGATATGACCTTGTTTTTCAGGTCATGTCATGACCCAAATGGCCAATTCTCAACATCTTGCAAGGTCAAGGTCAAGGTCAACCTAGGTCATCTAATATAATTGCGTTTTAGGCAAGCGGAATTTACTTTTTGTGAAGTTTTTTGACTGCATTTTTGGTAAAAGCTTCTCAGATCATGATTTCATGTAATATGGACACATAAGCAATCGGTGCACACATCAGTATACACACAGACACACACAGACATACGAACACACATAACTGACCTTGACCTAACTTGACCTGAAATGACCTTGGCAGCGAAAACCTGGTCGGGTAGTGTGACAAAGAGGTTCTAGCTGGCTTGGCACCAGAAAACGGCATCGTCATCGGTATATGATAAGCAGCGCACTTGATATCCAACGGTGACCCAAAACAGCAACATTTTTTAGTTTGACCTGACCTGGAAGGTCAATGACTGACCTGAGAAGGTAAAACTGGGTATCATTGGATTCGTCTCTTCCCAAAGAATCTTTTTGGTTTAGCGCTAAGCTCACCAACAGGAACGAAATGGCGCGGGGGGGTGGCGCCACCCCCCCCCCCCCATGTGCGTTCTAGGATGGGAAAATGGCATGTGCGGGCGAGGGTTAATCCTCGCCCTGGCAAGGGGGTCGATGCGACCCCCCACCGTAAGGTTTTTCGAAGATAGCCTAAAAACGACGGCGCGCAGCGCCGCCAGATTTTGCACAGCCTATGGGGCAAACTTTTTGCATATAATCTAAAAAATTCAGGTCCAGGTGACCTTGGATCAGGTCACCAGGTCAGAAAAACCGGTACAAGGTCATGGTCAAAATTCAATTTTCTTTATGCCCAACTCACAGTTTTGGACTGATTTCCTTCAAACTTTCAGGATGAGCTAGTTGTATAACATAAAGTTCGTTTTTTTATGTCACTGACCTGAGGCCAGTTAGAAGTCATTACGTCGTACTCGTAATGTTAAGCCTATGGGAAAATATTCAATTAGGAAAATACTGGAGATATCCGTCTCGTTCTATCACTTTTGTGGTTTGAAACCTCAGTACTTAACATTATATCACTTGGTGCTTCTTTGTTTGGTGTACTCATCCATGGGTCAGGTCAAATGAGGTCAACTGAGGTCAAATGACGTTTGTGCCAATAACTTGTCACATAATAAAGATACGGCTTTCAAAATGGTTGGTAATTGGTATCATTCTGTTCCAGCTCTCGAAGAGCCGAGTTGAATGATATGCAACATTAACCCGCGCCCGGCTGGGGGTCCTGGATTTCCACGCCCTGCTGGGGGGTGTTTGAACACCCCCCCCCTTGTAACTCGGCTCCTGGGCCACGTAGCGATACGCGGAAGGCGGCGTTCGAAAGAGCGCCAAAAATAATGACGAAATCACTTCGGTCAATTTTTTGGTCAGGTCAAAGGTCAGGTCACCAGAGGTCATTGAAGGCAAAATTTCGCCGATTTCCAGGTCGAATATCGAAAATTTCCAAGAAGCCAACGCATAACTCAGGAACCAATAGAGCTACAGCGCCGCGGAAAAGCGCATTCGATAGCCCTATTAACGCCCTTTCTGAGTAATTCTCTCAGATTTGACCTAACGTCAACGGTTTTGCCTGCAGGGGGCAAAAACTGCAAAAATAGCCGATTTTTTCGGAAACAGTTTTGCGGCAATAACTTTTGACCCAAGCCTTGTACGAGCTTACTTTTACCGGCATCGTGTTCCTCTCGTCAAGACGCATCGAATGAACTATAACTTGACCTTGAAAGGTCAACTTGAAAATTTGACCTCAGGTCAAGGTCATGACCTGACCGGAAAGGGTCATGTTGCATATCAGTCGATCCGTATCGTCGAGCTGAACACATCTAAGGCGTTTTCATCGCTCTAGCATGCCTCTATCAAAAGTTATTTGCGAAAAACTGTTAGATACCATTCGTGACCTAAGATGACCTCAGGGCATAAACAAGGGTCACGGACACCATTTTCATGTTCAGTGTGTCTAAACCACTTGTAATTCAGTGTTTGGGAGTGTTTATAATGTGTTTAGTCCAAAAGAGGCGCATTTCAATTTTCTCCCATTGACTTATAATGGGGAGGTCGCAAAATTGACCTGACCTTAGGTCACCGATATCAAAATTCCGAGATATACATTTTATAGATACTGTTACCCTTATCAATCGCTGAAAGTTTCAAAGCAATCGGTCACTCGGTGTAGCTATGACAGACATTGAAACTTTTTATGAGGTGAGGTCACTTCAAGTGACCTGGTGACCTGACCTTGAATGACCTTGGTCTGAAATTTTCACAACATGTGTAGAATTGATGTATGATAAGGTGTACCAAAAAACCACAAGGGGGGGTGTTCAAACACCCCCCCCCCCCCAGCAGGGCGCGGGTTAAGCATTTCGACCATTCTTAAGACTTTAGTTGTACTTAAGATGTGCTTAACTTTTTAAGTACAATTAAGCAAGCATAAAAGTATAAAATTCGACGCGCCTTGACGTGCTGAGCTCACTGGTGCTTTTCTTTTTGCTCTATCTTAATTAGATCAAAAGTTATAAGCGAGAAACCTTTGACCTGTTTTTAGCGAAATTTTTACATTCATATCCCCCAATACCCCCTAAATATTGACCTAGAGCAACCAAGTTTGCACAGGGGCGAGAACTCCAGGGGGCCCACCTGCCTACCAAATTTAGTGTTTCTAGGTGCCATAGGAGCCAATCACGAGGGGGGTCGCATCGACCCCCCCCCCCTGCCGGGCCGTGCTATGAAAAATGCCCTGCCAGGGCGAGGGTTAAGCTGAGGTTATAGGCCAAGCATCAATGCCTCTAAAATTTTCGAACCAGGTCAATCACGGACGTATAAACCAGTATAACGCCTTTTGGGGCGACTAACAGAGCGAGCGAGAGGGTGGGCCTTGCACGTGCGAAATTGCGAGGGGGTACCTCCAACTGACTTGTGCACGGCACCCTACTAACTGGTCTCTAGCGACGTGCCAAATTTGGGCACAATCGGCCCAGCCGTTCTCGAGATCTGGAAGCGGCACCCTGCACGTGCGCACGTGCAAAATGGGTCCCAACTGACTTGTGCACGGCACCCTACTAACCGGTCCCTAACTGTGTACCAAATTTGAGCGCAATCGGTCGAGCCGTTCTCGAGATCTGGAAACGACCCCTGCACGTGCGCACGCGCAGCAGCACCCCAACTCTGGCACATGGATATGCAGTGCCAAGTGGGTGCCTACCTACATGCCAACTTTCAGCGCAATCGGCCAAGAAGTTACCGAGATATTGCAACAATTACAAAACGGACACCTCTTCTTTTTGCACGTGGCACGTGCATAAGGGGTCACCCACATGCATCAGGAATAGTCCAATACTTGGTAGAAGGAATTATATGAAAGAAAAACATTGACCTTTTTCCTCGAATCTATAGCAAAATTAATGAAAAATCACCTTTTTATTTACGTGATATTTCGGCCAACAGACCATTATCAAACGAAAGAAAGAACAATGTAGAAGACAAAAACGGTTACAGCAGACAGACGGCAGCCTATTTTCATATTTCGAAATTCATCTCGCGGTATTTGTTTACATAAGACTTCAATGGAAGAACATCCTTGGTTATGCTAAGATGTTTCCGATGTACCGTACACACATACATAAAACGAGCGATAAAAAAACGAGACAAAATCAGGACATATAACTCATCATAACACTTTTTGACATTCGATACGATCGATGACTCGAATTCACACGCTGCATACGCTATCTTACACACTTATATGATAGGCC